TTTCTGCTTCTTTCAGCTTAAATGGGCCAATGTTTTTTTCTGCTTTCATTTGCTAATTTTAGCTTGTTCTACGTTTTCAGCTAGTTTTTAGCTTTTTTTTTTTTTAGCTAATTTCAGCTTTTTTTGGATAATTTTCACTTTTTTGTGCTCATTTCTGCTTCTTTCAGCTTAAATGGGCCAATGTTTTTTTCTGCTTTAATTTGCTAATTTAAGCTTGTTCTACGTTTTCAGCTAGTTTTCAGCATTTTTTTAGCTAATTTCAGCTTTTTTTAGATAATTCATTTTTTGTGGTAATATCTGCTACTTTCAGCCTAATTAACTTATTTCTGCTAATGTCAGCTTGTTATGCTCCTTTCAGCTTTTTTCTGTTATTTCAGCTGTTTTTATGCTAATTTTTGTTTTATCTACTAATTCCACATTTTTAGCTCGTTTCAGCTCCTTCCGCTTCATTCTGGTAGTTTAAGCTTCTTTCTGCCTTTTCATCTACTTTTCGTCTATTTCTCGCTCATTTCAGCCATTTTTTTTTTAGCTAAATTGCTAATGTTCGTGCTCATTTCTGCGTATTTAAACTTAATTCACCAAGTACGAGCTCTTTCTGCTTTCTTCTACTAACTTAGGCTTGTTCTTCTAGTTCAGCTACATTTCAGCAGACGTTTAGCTAAATTCTGCTGTTTTTCAGCAAGTTCTTCAGCGATAAGCATTCACGCAGGAAATGCAGTTTCTCTGGTTACTTTTCAAATTCTCCATCTGGAAAGGTCCAGCATGATGCGTAGTTTGTTGGAGTTTGTTCGTTTATCGGCCGCCCTGGCAACAAACTGGTTTTGTTTACAGAGTGCTGTTTGAGAACTTGATTTTTATTGATCTGGATTGATAATAACATCGAGAATTCCTGCTGCATATTTAACAAGAGGAATTCCAAAGCTTCACAGCGATGCCAGATATTTTCTGAAGGGATTTATTCCCCTGTGCTACATATTGGTTGAATGAAATGAAAAGTTTATAAAATTTCTGAAGAGAAGTCGGTCAGAAAACTTTGATTTAAATGTAGATTAGGAAGATTATCTGGATGGTGCCTTTACGACCCATTTTTACACAAACCACGACCACAGCAGAACGTTTTTATTTCAGAGCTTGTTGCACTTTAGCACAAGTCACACATCAGTTTAAGAGGAAGCCAGAACTTCAGAGGAGCTTCCAGACTTCATAAACGGAGCGTCTCCTCCAGTTTAAAGCTTGAAACAAATCGACAGAACCGAAGCTCCAGTCGCCGCGTTTCTTAACTTTTTTTTTTAAGGTTTTGCCGTATCCTGGAGGACGCAGCACGTCGCTAGCTCATTTGAATTTAATCCAGTAAAATATTCTGCAGCGTCCTCGTTGTGGATCTGAGAATCAGACTCTGCTTAATAAAATATGCACATCTTGTTTCGGTGTTTGTTTTTAGTGGGGCTGTGATTTTTCCCAGCAGGACCTTGTCGGGATGATCAGGCGGTGTTGAAGTCCAGTTAGTTACCTGCCTTCTTCCTCCGGGTCTCTGAAAAAACAGTTCCTTTATTCCACCGAGCCAAATGTCATTATGTCAGTAACTGAGGAAATAGTGTCTCAGTGAGCCGAGCTCCTCTCTTACTTTGTAATCTGATAATTCAGAAGCATTTTACAGCACATGCAGGATTTCCTTCGTTCAGTCCCTCGATTCTGCGTTCGTCGAGACTTTGATGTCTTCCCTGACTCGTCTCTTTTATCCGACTGTCTTCCCTGCAGCAGAGGAGGTTCTTATTCGTTTTGTCCTGCCTTGTGTTGTTAATTTTAAACTGAATGGCTCTAAAATTATTTCCTTCGGGCGATGGGAGGAGAAGCACGTGAGCATTTTGATATACTTTGTGGAGAAAAGCTGCGATCTGCTTTGAAACTTTTCTCCTGATGCTGTTGGAGAAATCTGTTGCCTTGTGGTTTCTTCTGTCACACAATAATGTCAGATTGCGCCACACAGAGGCAAGATTAGCTCAGCGTGATCAGATTATTATCTGCTGTGGCCTTTAAGGGAGGCTGCAGAGACCGGAGGAAGGAAAGGAAGGAGGGAGGGGTAACGGTCAAAGCTTTAGGTCTTTGGGAAGTTATACTGGATAAACGTCTAGAACTGATTAACTTTCAGCTCATATGTGAGAGCAAACATGTTTTATAAGATTTCACCAACGCAGCTTCAACTCTGTCCCTCCTCTTCGTGACATGATGTTTGCAACACATTATAAATTTTCTCTCTCACTTACTTAGTTTTTTCAACATTGTAATAATGACTAGCTCAATGAGGTATTTGCATGCACGTTCATGATTTATACACAAGTAACGCATGTAAATGAAAAGTATGTTTATGCGTATTAATAAAATAACAAAATGTAACCCCCCCTATATTAATAAATATACTTATAGTTCAATGTAAGCCTACAAAAATAGTCACACATCCTTACAAGCGGAACAGAAAATATGATGATCAGTTCACATAATGTGTCAGTTATATTTACTAATATTCTTGTCCAGTTGTTGTTTGTTTATGTTCTGAATTATACCAAAATAATATGAAACATTAAATTACTCGTCGTGGAGTTAATCCCCATCCTGTACCTTGTGGAAAATCATGTTTTTATTCGTTTGTCAACTGACTGATTATCAGTCGGGCGGCACGGTGGCGCAGTTGCTGCTTCTCAACAAGCAGGTCAACCCGGTTCAAATCCCGACCTTTCTGGGTGGAGTTTGCATGTTCTCTCCGTGCATGCGTGGGTTTTCTCCGGGTGCTCCGGTTTCCTCCCACAGACTAAAAACATGCATGTTAGGCTGATTGGTAACTCTAAATTGTCCCTAGGTGTGAATGAGAGAGTGAATGGTTGTCTCTATGTGTCCCTGTGATGGACTGGAGACATGTCCAGGGTGTCCCCCGCCTCTCACATACTGTAAGGACCTCGGTTAAAGGTTTTTGTTGATTTTCTACCCAAGTTTGTGCTGCTTGTCTTATTACGCGTCATAAAATGTAAATATTTTAAACTTAATTTTAAGTGGATTTGTGTGTTTGAGAATCAACGTTGTGCGTGACGCGACATGAAAAGCGGCGGGTGATATGCATTCCTTCGTGGACTTATTAAAGTCTTTCTTCCTCTCATAGGTGACCTTTAAATCGGACCTGTCCACAGCCGAGGTCCACGACGAAAACATCAAAGGACCCTTAAAGGTAAAGCTGGAAATGTGAAGACAAAATGATGCTTCGTATCTTTTATTTCCTATGAAATGAGCTGTGTGGAGACTTCCCAAAACTGATTGACACATTTAGTTTCAAACGGGCGAGGAGTATTTGCTGTTTTCTAACATAATTTTAATAAAATCCTGTTGATTTTAAAACATCTTAACCTCCTTGCAGTCATTTATTGATGTACAAATTGTGTTGGAGGCATAAAAACTCTAATCCAAAACACTGAAAAATGCATATTTTGAACATCCCCGTAGACTCTTCCTGAGTTAATAAGAAAAATGCACACGAGCCTCAAGCAGGGAGGCATCAGCTTTCTAATTTAATTTCAGAAGGCTTGAGTTTTTGTACTCTGGGTAAATTGAGCTGACTGTCTGAAAAGGCATCGTTAGATTAATTTATGTTAAAATAATAATAAGAACAGCTGCGTCTCTGTCACACAGGTGGGCGTTGTTGTGGAGGTGAAGAATCAGGACGGAGTTTACCAACAAGCCACCATCAACAAGCTGACCGATGCTAGTATTTATACAGTCGGTAAGTTGGCATGACCCTCCTGCTGCCGTGAAGGGTGGGCGATCATGTAACCGTGTGTGTTTATGTATAGGCATTTATGCAGGCTCATTTATTTGTTAGCAAAATGTCTCATGAACCACTGGACACATTTTAATGAAACTCACAGAACATAATAACTGGACATCTGCAACTGATTAGCTTTGTGTCCATCCAGTTCAAGATGGCTGCCACAGATAATTATTTATTAAATTTTACAGATGTTTGACCTAAATTTAATGTGGTAGTAGCTGAGATTCATCCTCAACACGTACTTTGAGCACAAACTGATCGTGAAAGATATTTGCTTAAAACTTCGGCTTTAACTTCTGGGGTCTGCAAAAGCTGCAAAACAGGAGCTAGAAGCTTCATGCTTCAAAACAGGAGCTAGAAGCTACATGCTTCAAAACAGGAGCTAGAAGCTACATGCTTCAAAACAGGAGCTAGATGCTACAAGCTTCAAAACAG